TAAAATGTAAGTAGAAAGGAATAAGATGATGTCAAAAAGAGTCTCTTTCAAAAGTCTGACTAGGGGCAGTCCTAGACCCAGAATAAAACAAGATAATACTTTATCTTTTTCTCCCATGCAACCAGGGGGTATTCAGTCCTAACACTCAAAGTTTGGGAATATTAACATTTATGAGTTAATCATGGTATGAGGTAAATAGGTTTCTATGCATTGGCCTTGGGAATCTCCATCCACATAACATACGTTGTTCTTGTGGGAAAATACAGTTTAAGTTCCAAGTACCCAATTTATGAACTCTTGGAATATAACTGTTAGTAGTTGGCCTGAGTAGAATGGTTCAGTTGACTTCATGATTAGAATAATCAATGTTTCCACAATATCTTGCAAAACTGCAGAATTTGAGAACAACCGCCTAAGTGAACTGTGCCAAAGATCAACTATAAGTGGCAGGCTCAAGTCTACATCTTGTGGCTTGTCCAGCTCCACTCTCACTACCATTAGGAACGCTGGCAGAGCTGCTAAAAGAGTATTTTGATGCTGCCATCTGTATTAGATAAAGGACTATTTTTCTCCCTTGCATTTTGGGCACAATAATGTAAAAAAAAAAAAATTAGCTTAACTCTTAGGGTATATTCTGAGGATGTCAAGATGAGAGTTCTTATTCTGGATCCTGAGTTCTCCACATGGACCATAATGTAGGAACTATGGTAGTTACTAGGTTAGTGAGTCTGACAAGCTTATACATGTGACCAGGCTACCCTTCTAGTCTGTAGGTTACTGGAAAAACCTACCAAAAAGAAAAAAAGAAAAAGAAAAAAGGAATCCCAAACCTGAAAATAATCTCTTAATGGCTGGACCTTTCTCAATAGTCAGAATGTTTTCATCTTAGTACTGCAATTGAAATAGCCAAAGAGAAACCAATATACTAAAAAAAAAAAAAAGAAAAAAAAAAGAAAAAAAAAGAAAAAGAAAGAAAAAAAGAAAAATCAATATGCGAATCAACTAAAATTATTTTATAGGTCTCAAATTATATATGGCTCATGGAAAAGAATATATATGAAGAAAAGGAAGAAATAATGTTAGCAAAATCAGAAAAAGGATAAGTATATTGCAGATGAGTGTTAGAAAAATAATCAGCCCAGCAGCACATCTCTCATGGGAGCATGCATTCATAATGGCTATCCCCCTCTCCTCTCGAGCATACCTATCCAGGTGCCTAACAATGTCTGAACTAGCTTTTCTAGCGCAGAAAAAATTTCTCTAGCATAACTGCATAATATGTAGGTACTCCACATATATTCTAGTTGACTACAAAATTACAGTATCAATCCTATTTTCATAGTTAATAATACAACCTATTCAAAATCTATAACTTCCATTTTTTTTCTTTTTGGAAAGTGCAAATTATAAGACTGAATTAGTATCTTTAAAGAAAACACAAAATTCGGACTGTATATAGAACAGTAATGAGTCAAGAGACTCTTCTATAGTTTAAATGACATATATAGGTTTCAGAAACTATCAAACAAGTCCCTCTTTTGTACCTTTAGTATTCTGAACATACTTGTATACACACTTATATAATAGTGTATCATTTGTTTACATTGCTATTATTCCGTATTAGACCATAAATTCCTTAAAGACAGATATCACATCTTACTCAACTCTATTTCTCTACTCTCAGTGGGGTACCTGACATCCAGTCTATGTTCAACAAATGTTTTTTAAACTGGAAGTATAAACTTGGTTGAATACATAAGCCTCCATTCCTGATCCTAAAATACATACATGTGTGTACATATATAAACATACATGCATATATAAAAGAAGCAGATGTTATTTTAATTTTTTCTTCACAGAGTACTTGATTTAAGAACTTCACATTGTAATATAAGGTCATCTAATTTTCAGCTTAATCTTAATCACAAAGTAACGCTCAAAGCTAAATATGGTAGATTAAGAAATTAGTGTTTTAATTCCCAAACTGAAATAGTCTTGTAGAAAACAGAAAAATGTCTAACATGATTCTGAGATCTCCTTAATTTCTGCAGAGATTTTTTTCAAAGTCATATTTAGCCACACCCAAGACAATCTATTGTTTACTATGGACCAATGGTTGTGCTAATAAGTACTTTGCTACAATATCTCATTCACCCCAATAATGATATGAGGTAGTTATTATCACCCTACTTTACTAATAAATATTTTTTGATTATTAGAAAAAAAAACAGTTGGCCTTAGAGATAATCTGGACCAATGCTCTCATTTTACCTTAAAAAAAACAAACAAGAAGAACATAAGAAAAAAATACATTTACATTATGCAGGCAAGTATCTTGTATGGAAGAATAAGAAGACACAGAGGAAAATATAGAAAAAAAAGGAAAATCTTGGAACAAGGTCTAAGTTACCTAAGAAATGGTCAGAATTCAGATTATTATACTATCTTGAAGAGACACCTGCATTCCCACGTTCACTGCAGTATTATTCATATTAGTCCAAACATGGAAATAACTTAAGTGGCCATCAATGAATGAATGTATAAAGAAAATAAAACAGACACACACACACAAATATTGTTCAGCCGTAAAAAAGGAAATCCTGCCATTTACAACAACATGAATGGACCTCGAGGGCATTATGGTAAGTGAAGTAAGTCAGAGAAAAATACTGTATGACCTCACATGTGGAATCTTAAAAGTATCAAACTTATAGAAATAGGGAGTAAGATAGTGGTGGCCAGGGGGCCAAGAATATGGGAAGATGACAGTCAAAGGATCCAAACATTCAGTTATAAGAAGAGTAAGTCCTGGGGATCTAAGGTACAGCATGGTAACTGTAGTTAATAATATTGTCTTTCATACTTCAAAGTTGCTATGGGAGTCAAACTTTAATGTTCTCACCATAGCAACAACAAAAAAATGGTAATTACTTGAGGTGAAGGATATGGTAACTAATCTTATTGCGGTAAACATTTTGCAGATATATACATATATCGAATCATTCCATTGTACACCTTAAATGTACATATGTTCTATGTTCTATGTAAAAACATATACTGTTTTAAACTTAGGATCTAAGTGAGTACCTTTTCTACAATGCAGAAACCATGTATTTATCTGCCTCATTGAACATCGTCATCCAGAGGCCCTGAAGGCAATCTCCCAAACTGTTAACCAGAGTGGAACTCACTTATCATCTCCCTATACACTTCCTTTTTGGTTCAATGTCTCTCAATCATTCACACTATTAAATTTAGAAAGAAGAAAACAAAACTCCAGAAATTAATTGCCTAGCCTTATTATTACTGCTATTTTGACTTTACCCAACTACAAGTGCTAATAAATAGCAAAAGTGGTCAGCCTGAACCATGCTTATCCTTGCAACTGATACAGCGAACACAGAATACAGGTTTTGGAATTAAGACAGACTTGCCATCTACCACCTGTGTAGCCTAAAACAGAGAACCATTTTTTAAGTATCTCCGATTATCTTCGAAATCCCATTAGATACAAGGTGTTTTCTTGTTGGCTTTCCTGTGAAACATCCATAGTAAATGTTGTGAGGAAGTGACTAGAGTCATATGCTCCAGTAGAAGCAAGCTTTGGTGAAATAAAAAGTTTCCTAGTCTGACATTCTACGAAATGGAGACTTCCCGCCCGAAGCAGAGAGATGCCTATGGCATGGCACTGCCTTCAGTACATCCTGAATGGAGGAAGGGAGCACACAAGGCTTGTCGATAATGATAATGAGAGGGTGAAAAGCAAGCAGAGATTGCTGAGATCCACCCACAGAAAGAAAAGCAGAAGACAAAGTCCAGAGTAACTTCTATTTAACATCTCAGCAGAGAGTTAGGCATAATGATGAGTGAAAGAAGCCAGACACAAGAATAAACATGCACCGTTCCATTTCTGTAAAATACAGTAACGTGGAAAAATTAAATTATGGCAATGGAAGTCAGAACAGTGGTTACTTCCAGATGGAGAGGGGAAGGGGGCCTGAGGGAGCCTTCTGGGATGCTAAAAATGATGTGTCTTGATCTCGGTAGTAGTTTTGTGAGTGCATACATATGTAAAAATTCATTGGGCTGAGCACTTAAAATCTGGCAATTTAAATGTAATAATACCTCAAAATAAAACAAATAAGCGGGAATGACAGTCAAGTCAGGACAAGGACCACAAAATTCCTATAAGATTCTGTAAACTTTACCTGGTGAAGTTTTAAAATTTTAGTCACCTACGGTGTATTTCTCTCTGTGGTGAGAAGCAGTAAATGAGTGATTAAATAATTTCAGTGTTTCTTTGGAAGCAACTGGGAAGGTAGAAGCTGGGCCATCTTTGTTGCCTTCTGTGTCTAGGTCTGAGGAGGCCAGAAACTGAAAGGAGAGGTTAAGTGGTGGCCCAGTGCCTGACACAAGGACAGGAGAGTAAGGGCAGACAGCTGAGGCCTGGCAAGGAACAAGAAATCTCAGAGGTCCTGCCCGCTTATTGGTGTTAGTTAATACTTCATTTACATACCGTAACAACCCCTGATAATCTTGGTAGGTACTTATTAAACTTTACCTGCTTGGGTTAAAAATATACCCATCCTTCCAACCGAATTATCTAGAAATTACTTCCTCCTAAGTCAATCTGGTCACAAAATCTACCTTTAGACATGAGCAATATAAACTCTACCAGAACCATCATTAGCTCTGGACAATAGCGAGGAAAAACCTGTGTGTTATATGATGTAAAGCTGTATGCACTCCATTTGATAGCTTTCATTAGCTGTTAGAACCATGCGCTGTGCTTCTCTGACACATTTATGGAAGATGTTTGTGAGAGTCACAAAGAAGGGAGGGTATGGGAAACCAACGAACGAACCTAGATTAACCAATCCTTTACAGCCCCACCGTTCAACAAAAGAAAAAAAAATGATGTAATGGTCTAAGACAAAGAAAGTATAATGAGCAAGACCCTACAACAAACCCGCTATCTAAGCGGATGATTTCCTTCTCACCTTTATCACGATCATAGAGTAAATCTTCTGTTGAGCAAGGGCTACCATCCTGGGACTCGGGGGGACAAAAGGGAGAGATACAAGGTGAATGGCTGCTGCAGCTACTGCTGCGCTCCTGCACGGAGGGAGTCTGAGTGTCTATGCTGCGCGTGCTGCTGCTTCGGTAGTGAGCGGGGAGCGGGGCTCTTCGACCGTCCGGGATCTCCAAAGGCTGGAAGACAAACAAGCATTACGTGTGCATGTGTCAGTGCACATCCCTGATTCATGCAGAAGCACATGGCATGGTCCTTGTCTTCACATTCCATTACTATCTCATTATACCTGATTCTTCAGAGAATAAAGATACCAGTCTTGTCTTGATTTCTGCACATTGTCTTGACTGAACAAAAAACTTATTTCAAACTACTAAGGATAAAAATTGTCTTACAAGTTCCAAAGCTCTCTATGCATCCCGAGGTTAGCACTTCCCATAATACTTCTCAAGGGTGGGGCTTTTTTTAAACACTGTGTCCCCAGTGCCTCCCACCGTGTCTGGCACATAGCAGACATCCAACAAACATTGCTGAATGAAGTGATCAAACTGTGCAAGAAATGACTCTGACTTAAAAAAAAAAGAAATGACTCTGACTTGCTAGTAAGAAAAGTAAAATCACATACTCGCAGGTATAGATTTTTCTGTCCATTCTCTATTTTAGTTTTTCTGAGATCAGGAACAGAACCATGTTTTCCATTTCCTTTACAGATTACCCAAAATTTCTAATAAAGAGATTTATTCTATTACCATTCTATAAAAGATATTAATATAATTCAAAATGTAATTCAAAACTATTCCATAAAGGATGTTAATAGAATTCAAAACTGTTTTGGTATCTATCTTTGTAGGACTACTTGGTTTGGTTCTAATGCATTGTTTTGAGTGGCAAAAATAAGAAATAGAAATGAAACTATCATCAAAGAAACCGTATTTAGGACCCAAAAAGACCTTAGAGCTCATTATTCCAGTGTCCTTACAAATAAAGAACCTAGGGATGCTTGGGTGGTTTAGTAGCTAAGCATCTGCCTTCAGCCCAGGGTGTGATCCTGAAGTCCCGGGATCTAGTCCCACATCAGGCTCCCTGCATGGAGCCTACTTCTCCCTCTGCCTGTGTCTCTGCCTCTTTCTCAATGTCTCTCATGAATAAATAAAATCTTTAAAAAAAAAAGTTAAAAAAAAACAAATAAAGAAACTATAGTTTAGTGCTTCTGATGTCATGCTAATTAAACAGAAGCAGAGCTTCTGTCACAGTGGACTCTAAATACTCTGCTTCAGCTGTAAAGATAAATCTTATTCCATTTTCCTAATCTGTGTGCCAACAAAGTAAGATCAACAAATAAAATTTTATATATTAATCACTTAGGCAAGACTGCAATGCTAAGAAAAAGAACAAATATACTCTTATTTACAACGGATTTTCACTATTTACTGTTTTTACTCTGAGCTTTGTTTCAGAGTTTTTAGAAACATTGTCAGAGGGAAAAATGGAGTATGATAAAATTAGGCAAGATTCAAAATATATAATTTTTTTTCTGTAACAACCAAGTGAAGGCTGAAACCATTAACTACTGAAACAAAAACTGCATTTATCTATACAATGCTATTAAATCAAACCTAGAGCATCTTCACAACCTGACAATGACTACTATAAAGAGAATATCCAATTATGTAAATATCAATTCAGGGCAGCCCTGGTGGCCCAGAGGTTTAGCGCTGCCTTCGGCCTGGGGTGTGATCCTAGAGACCCGGAATCAAGTCCCGCATCAGGCTCCTGGCATGGGGCCTGCCTCTCCTCTGCCTGTGTCTCTGCCTCTCTCTCTCTGTGTCATAAATAAATAAATAAATAAATAAATAAATAAATAAATAAATAAATAAATTCATTCTGCAAACAAAAAGTAACACTTTCCAATTAAGGAAAGAAAAAGTCCCAAAAGACTATTATTTTACTTGATCAAATGTTAAGAAAATGTTACTTAAAATTTTTTTTTTCATTTAAGTAAATTGATTTTAATTATAATTCTGCACTAAACCTTAGAATGAACAAAGAATAAATCACTGGCACTGGTGTTTTTTGGACAAAATTGTATAGCAGTAATAAGATGTGTGAAGTTCCAAGGGTAACACATGAGCAAAGGTCACTTTCAAAACTATATTTGAGGGCTTCAAACAGAACTATTTCTTAAAATTTAGACATTTAAGTCAAGGAAAATGTTACTTTAATAAAAGTGTCAGTATTGGTAATCAATAAAAGAATGATGTATAAATCTATAGGTAAAATACTTAAGAATTTGAGTTATCTTTCATTTGTGTCCTATTTGATAAACACAATCTTTCTGTATTTCTTTTTCTTAATTGCTAACAGTGATATATATCAATTTACTTAACCAAATTTTGTTTTGTTGGGAGGGAGTTTGTAAGAATTATAAGAATGAAACAGATTTTAAAAATCTACTATTTATACAAATAACAGTGGGGAAATATAAGCTTAGAACACTAATATACTTAACAGGACAATTTTCTTTTTTTTAGTTCCTGGCAGGTTCATTAATGTGACATTTAAAAAAAAAAGATTTTATTTATTCATGAGACAGAGAGAGAGAGAGAGAGAAAGGCAGAGACACAGGCAGAGGGAGAAGCAGGCTCCATGCAGGGAGCGACATGGGACTCGATCCCGGATCTCTAGGATCATGCCCTGGGCTGAAGGCAGCACTAAACTGCTGAGCCACCTGGGCTGCCCAATTAATGTGACATTTTATTAAAACTTTGGGGCACACTTACCAATCGAAAAAATTCTAAAAATTAGTATTTTAGTTTTAAGTGTGAGGGTTAGCTTAGAGTAATTCTGAAATGGCCACTATAAAATTAAAATCCAATTTATTTAAAAAGCAGAACTACATAAACTTTTATTTATTTATTTATTCATTTATGTATAGCTGACACTCAATGTACATTAGTTTCAGGTGTATAACTTAGTGAATTGACAACTCTATGCATCATGAAATGCTCACCACAAATGTTGCTAGCATGTGTCACCATATAATGCTTATAATACCATCGACTATATTTCCTCTGCTGTACCTTTCGTCTCTGTGACTTACTCGTTCTAGAACTAGAAGCATATACCTCTTACTCCCCTTTGCCCATTCTGCCCATCCCCCACCTCCTCTCCCTTCCCCTCCGGCAACCACCAATTTGTATGTATGGATCTGTTTCTGTTTGCTTATTTGTTTTGTTTTTTAGATTCCACATATAGGTGAAATCATATGATATTTGTTTTTCTCTGATTTATTTCACACAGGATAATATTCCCTAGGTCCGTTCTCATTGTGAAAAATGGGCAAGATCTTATTCTTTTCTATGGCTGAGTAACATTCCACTGTGTATGTGTACATTATATAACTATATATGCTTTTCATATATTTTATTTTATATATTGTTTATACATAGTAAATACACATCTTTATCCATTCATCTATCAATGGACACTTAGGTTGTTGCTATATCGAGGTTATTGTTAATAATGCTGCAATAAGCAAAGCCATGCATATATCTTTGTGAATTAGTGCTTTTGTTTTCTCGAGGTTATGTTAGTAAGTTTTATATCCTAGTACAGTTTTGTTTTGAAATTCTTAAGGAATCAGCAAATATGTGATATTCTTTCATCCTCAAAAGATTAGATTTTTCACTAAAGTGAAATTTTTTGAAAAATTTCCTTACATTAATGCTTTTAAACATTACTTAATATATTAAGGAAACATTTTAATGATCAAGAGCTAAGAGATGGCATAATTTCCAAAGAATTCCTTTACAGTATTATAAATACAGATAAAATTTTAACATGGACCATTTAGGAAGAGTAAAATGGCACAACTTTTTGGGAATATAATTTTAGCAATATTCATCAAAATTTAAAACATACCTAAATTGCTTTGATCCAGCAATTTCACTGCCAGAAAATTATCTTCAAGAGTACGCAATGTTTTCTAAAGCACTACTTATGATGACAAAAACTGAAAACAATCTAAATGCCTGTCAACAGGGGATTTCCAAATTATGGTATATTCATAAAATGATTCACTACGTATTAGAATACACACACGTATCAGGAATGATGTACAAGAAATAATGCATAATGCTCATATTTGCTAAGCAATACTGAGAGTTGAAAGTCTTACTTTTTAATTTTATAAATATAAAACTGAACTGTTCGGATTTTGAAATTAAATCGGTTTAAAAACCTGCACATTATTTAAAGGAATCAGACACATATTTGGCATAAATCATTATTTTGGCTCCAAAAAAAATCTCAGAGATAATTAAGTCAAAGGCTACCCGATGCTTTCTTTTGTGGAGCATATATTTAAAATGTGGTCAAATACAGACTCACATGCAGCAATATCCAGATTTCTTTTCTGGGACAGAGGTAATTTATAAAGCATTTTTGGCGAATTCAAAATGGTTCAGGGATGCCTGGGTGGCTCAGCAGCTGAGCGTCTACCTTCGGCTCAGGATCGAGTTCCACATCAGGCTCCCTGCATGGAGCCTGCTTCTCCCTCTGCCTATGTCTCTGCCTTTCTCTGTCTCTCATGAATAAATAAAATCTTTAAAACAAAGCAAAACAAAATGGTTCAAAGACGTAACTATAAGAAAAAGCTAAAACTAAAAACGCTTAGAAGAATACAAGAAATCTAAGAAGACCTTAAGATTAGGCAATGGTTTCCTAAATATGACATCAAATATACAAATAACAAAAACACAACAGGGGCGCCTGGGTGGCTCAGTTGGTTAAGCAGACCTGCTTTTGGCTCAGGTCACAATCCCAGAATCCCAGGATGGAGCCCCATGTAGGGCCCCCTGCTCAGCAGAGGGTGTGTGTGTGGGGGGGTGTCTCCCTCTCCCTCTGCCCTTCCCCCTACTCATGCTCTCTCTCAATAAAATCTTTTTTTAAAAAAGAAAAGCAATAAATCAAACTTTATCAAAATTGAAAGTGTTTCAAAGGACATCATTAAGAAAGTAGAATGAAAAGACTACCCACAGAATGGGAGGTATTTTCAAATCATACATCTAATAAAAACTTTTATCTAGAAAATAAACGCTTTATTAAAGCATTTCTACGATAGTAAAAAGACAATCCAGTTTCAAAATGGGGTAAATGATCATTTAAATAGACAAATTCCCAAAGAAGATCTACAAATGGCCAATAGTACATGAAAAGATGCTTAACATCTTTAGCCTTCAGGAAATGCATAGCTACATGATGGGATACGACTGGACACCCAACAGGATGGCTATAATAAAAAAGAGCTCCCACACCAGCAGTCTCACAACTAGGTATATCCTCAAGGGAAAAACATGTTTGCATGAAATCTTGTATATGAATTTTGTAGCAGCATTATTCATAATAGCCAAAAAGTAGGAATGAGACAATGTTCATCAGCTGATAACTGCTAAATAAAATCCATACATTGAGTATTTGGCAATAAAAAGGACTGAAGTACTGAGAAATGTTACAACATGGATGGAACCTTAGAGACACTGTGCTGAATGAAAACAGTCACAAAAGGCCAAGTATTGCATGACTCCACTTCTAAGAAATGTCTAGAAGAGGCTAAGTTGTAGACAGAGAACACAGATCAGTGGTTGCTGACGGCTGGGGGAACTGGAAGGAAATGAGGGCTAATTGCTAACGGATGCAGAGTTTCTTTCTGGGGTGATGAAAATGCTGTAAAATGGACTGTGGTGGTGGTTGCACAAGTGTGAATACACTACAAACCCCACAGAGTCGTACACTTCACAGGGGTAAGTTACAGGTATGCGAAGTAGCTCTAATAAGGCTGTAACCAAAAAAAGGACTTTTAAGTCCAGTTCTGAATATCAAAGGGAAAAAAGAGAATTCAAACTTGGCACATAACCTTACCTTGGATACTTCCTCCTTCCCGTTATTTTCTTTAATGAATACCTTTTCTAACTCAGGACTTATTCCTTCTACATTGCAGGGAACACGCGAAACAGACGATTTTGGCACGGATATATTTGACAGCGGCATAGGGACTGATCTTGATCCAGGAGCCTACAAAACATAAGATGGTGTCAGATTCTCTGTGGTCAAAAAAAAAAAACCCCAAACAAACGACAGCAACAACAACAAAAAACAGAAGAAATCAAAGAGCACAGTAAACCTGAAAATGGAAACTCAAATGAATGGAGTTATTTCAACACTTCAAATACAATTTATAAATTCAGATTCACATACAGAAATTTAGGTTCTCATGTAAGAAGGTAAAAACTCTATAGAGTCCAAATAATCCTTTATGTCAACGTGTAAAGGTATTTAATGGCATAACATATACACTTTTTCAGTAGGGCGGCAGACGGAATCTTCTACAATGTTTAATTCTCTCTCCCTTTGCTGTTTTTACTGAAAAAGTAAAGTCGAAATCAAGTCAGTTAACTGTATCATGTGGCTTTACTGGACAGCTCCATGCCCCTATTTAAAAGATTTGTTTCCTTCACTGTTTCAATTATCTTCTAGTATTTTTACTTCCATTTTGTCAACCATTTCATAATGGCAACAATGTATCATGTTAAGTTCAATAACACTCACTTAACAGCTTTAAGGTTGTTTACAAAAGTCCTCTGGAGGAAGTTCTCAAGAATTAACCACCTCTCACAGCAGTCACAGAGGGTACCAGAAAGCCTAAGGCAAGACTTTTTTTTTTTGCCTAATTCCAGTAGAGTTAACATACAGTGTTACAATAGTTTCAGGTGTAGAGTATGGTGATTCACCACTTCTCTACATTTCTCAGTGCTCATCAAGGCAGGTGTACTCTTCATCCTCGTCACCTGTTTCACTTATCTGCCCACCTCCCCTCGGGTGACCATCAGTTTGTTCTCTACGGTTAAGAGTAAGACAAATGTTTTGATGCTCAAGGAACTTAGACCACAGAAAGGAAATAAGAAAAATCAAGATGAACAAGTAAAAATAAAAACAATATATGATCACCATCTTATTTTGATTGATTAAAGTTGTTACATAGGATTCATAATCAAGTGGGCTGATTATTAACACATGAATAATATTTCCTGCTGTGCTTCTGCCCTCCGTGAACTGCTGCCTGCTAAGATCCTTTGTTATTGATGCACGAGATGTCTGAGATGTCTTCATACTAACGTAACTTTGTCATGCATGTGCTGCTTACTTTAGTAGCAGATATCTTTCTTTCAGTACTTTTATGGTCTTTCATATTTAAATATTTAACCTAACATGATTTACTTTTTGTGCATGGTGTGAGGTAGTGTTTTTTTTTGTTTTGTTTTTTGTTTTGTTTTGTTTTTACCTACCAGAGTAATCAAACTGCACTTATGATTCTATATTTGATTTTCTTATGGATTTCTATATTTGATTTGATTCTGATTTCATTTCCTTCTTAACAGATAATCCCTACACAAAGCTTGACTTTAATTGCTGATATTTTATAGTACATGTTGCTATCTTATAGGAAAAGCCTTTTCAAGTTTTCTTTTCTATTAATTGGCATTAGTTTTCCATATGACCCTTGAAAACAACTTTTCAAGTAACAAAACAATTCCTCTTAAAATTCCATTGGAACTCAATCTGTACATTAATTTTGGGGAAATTGCTATTCGAAAAATATTGAGTCTTCCCTTCCTATACATGAATGTGTTGAGATTTCCCATTTAGGTCTCGATTTTCTATTTCATATTCTCAATAAAGTCTTATAATTAGCATATTTCTTTTAAGTATAATTCGAGGCATTTAGTATTTTTCTTATATATACTAACGTGTTATTAAGAATTGTTAACATAACAAGAAACATTAATTTGGCGTCTGTCCTAGTTCCTGACACATATTTCCTAAAATTCTTGTCATTTCTTCAATGACAGGTACGCTAGGAGCATCTTTTGTTCCAATATTTTGTTTCTGACCCTGGAATGGGACCCAGAGTCCCTAAATCCCTTGAAATGTCCTGAGTGATAGAAGGAAAGAGTCCTCTATTCTAATGAGGTGACTCTTGAGGGGCTCCTTGATAGCTTCAGGATGGGGCTAGTCAACAGAAAGATCAAGCTATGATTATAGGCTTGGGATTCCCAGCCACACACATCATCCTCTGGAGAGGGCAGAGGGGCTGGTGAGTAGATCATGCCAATGTGATAAATAAAGCCTTCACAAAAATCTCTAAACATGAGTTCAGAGAACTTCCAGTCTGGTGAAAATGTATCTACGTGCCAAAAGGATGGCAGCACCCCAACTCCATGGGAGAAGACCCTGCACTTGCGACCTTTCTAGACCTTGCCCTATGTACCTCTTTATCTATTCATCTGTACCCTTTATTATATCCTTATAACAAAGCAGTAAACATAAGTGATTCCCTGAGTTCTGAAACCATTATAGCAAATTATTGAGCCTGAAGTGGTTGTTGGGAATTCCAGATGGTCAGAAGTACAGATGACAATCTGAGACTTGAAACTGGCATCCTGTGGGGAGGGGGAGGGGCAGTCTTGTGCGGCTAAGCCCTTAACTGTGGGGGTCCGTGCCAATTTCTAGTAGTTAGTGTTGTAACTGAATTCTAAGATGCTCAGTTGGTGTCGGGAGAGTTGGTTGGTATGGGAAAACTTCCCACACATTCAGTGCTAGAAGTATTCTACATAGGGTGTTCAGTGGTTTACCTTCATTCCTATGAGAGAAAACTACCGATTTCTATGTTTACATTTTATCTAATCATCTCACGAAGTTCTCAGTTTCTTTTTGTATAAAAAATTATAGGGGCAGCCCGGGTGGCTCAGTGGGTTAGCACCGCCTTCAGCCCAGGGCCAGATCCTGGAGACCTGGGATCAAGTCCCACATCGGGCTCCCTGCATGGAGCCTGCTTCTCCCTCTGCCTGTGTCTCTGCCTCTCTCTCTCCCTCTCTGTGTGTCTGTCATGAATAAATAAAGAAAATCTTTAAAAAAATATATAATCATAAACATAAACACTGTACCATAATGAACTCTCAGGTGCACATCATTCAGCTTCAAAAATTACCAGCGTCTGCCAATTTTGCTTCATCTAAATATCCATTTTTCTTCTGTTCTTATTTTAAAGCACATTCTATACTTCATACATCACCTACAAATACTACAATCTGTATGGCAGAAAATTATTTTTACACCTAACTACAATCCCAAAAATTCAATATAAATTAGAAACATCTGGTTAAGTCTTTTTTGTTAGGTCAGAGGTCTTCCATAGATGCCCTGGGTTCTGACAAAAAAGGTGCTTGAAATCAATAGTTGTAAGAATAATATATTGTTTCTACCAGATTAAGAACAAAAGATAAAGCCTTGTCTCTATAATTTTGCCTTTTCAAGAATTTAATGTAACAAAACATATACTATGTAGCCTTTTGCTTCTGACTTCTTTCACTTAGCATGATGTTTTTGAGATTCAACCATGTTCTTGTAAGTATCAGTAGTTCCTTCCTCTTTACTGCTGAAGAGTATTGCATGGATGTTATGAATTATTGTTTTATCCATTCACCAACTGATAGATATTTGAAATAATGCCTCCATGAACACTGATGTAGAAGTCTTAGTATGGACATGTTTTTATTTCTCTTGGCTAGATATCAAAGAGTGGAATTTGGGGGTTTCATGTTCAGTGTACATTTATTAACTTCTTAAGAAAATGCCAAACTGTTTTCCAAAGTGGTGGTACCATTTTAGTGTTCCCATTAACAACGTATGTCTGTTCTAGTTGAGCCACATCCTCACCAACACTTGGTATTGGTTATCCTATCAGTTTTAATGGTTTAGTTCATTCACTCTGATTTTCTAAATATATAATCACATCATATGCAGATACTGTTTCCTTCTCTTACTGCTCTGTCTAGAGCCTCTAAACTATTAGCAAGTAATATCAATAATTATGTGCATCTATGACTTGATTTTTAACAAAAATGCTTTCACTATTTTATTGTTAAGATCTCCCTACATTTGCAGTTAGTCACATTAGGAAGTGTCCTATTTTTACCCAGTATGTTTTTATCGCATAGGAAAACGGAGTTTTTATCAAGTGTTATTCTACTTTGACTTTCTGAGGCAATTAACTAAACTAACACCTCTCTTAATGCTGAATCATCCTTCTGTTTCTGAAACACCCTGACTAGATTTGTTTTGATTCACTAATTGGGTTTCTTTTTCTATTCTACTGTATTTGATTTGCTAAAATTTATATCAATATTTTAAGTGAATTTGGTCTAGAACAGCATTTCTCAAACTTATTCCACAGGAAATATGTGTTCCTGGGGGAGGGAAGAGGGAAGGGACCCCCAACAGAACTTTAATCCACAATTTCTTATGTAAAATAGGGGTAAGTATATATAAAGAGATATAAATGGGTTAAGGTACTATTAGGAAGACTAAATGAGATCATGCCCATAGTTGCTTAATACATGAACGAGCTAGGATTTTAGTATCAATCATCCTTAAGACGACTACACTCTGTTATGTCTATTATTAAAAGAAAATGACATACATGGAGGAGGAGAAAACTTCTTGCAACAATTTAACAAGTAGTAGTAATTTAGTAGAGGTAGGGATTTATATTATTAATTTTTAATCCTAAAATAATGGATTCCTCCTTTATAATGAACTCTTTAAAAGGAATTATTCAAATGTGGACAAGAAATTAGCCTACCTGAGTGTGATTGGTTGTTATATGGTTGCCATGAAGAGGTGACTGACGATCTTTCTCCTTACTGTGCCGACTACTCTGTTTACTACGTTGTAGTTGCTGCCTCAGTTTGGCAATCTGCTTTGGGGAGAGGGGAGGAGAAATAAGATGAGAACAAAAGTGAATACCAGCTTTTAAGTACTTCTTATTTTATTTTTTTGGATACTAATAAATAATTTTTCCCTCAAAGGTTTCAAAAAGAGAATATTTCACTACATGATTTATTCTTCCAAGTTTCTAGGATTAAAACTATTGGAAATAAGAGGTACAGACTTCCAGTTATACAATAAATAAGTCATAGGGATGTAGAGTACTACACAGGGAATACAGTCAATAATATTGTAATAACTATTTTTGGTGACAGAAGGTAACTACACTTGTTCTGGTAATCATTTCATTATATAAATGTTGAATCACTATGTTGTCCAACTGAAACTAATATATCAACCCTACTTCAATAAAAAAATAGGCTACAAATGCTTCACTTGTACAATTTAAATAGTGTTTTGGTAAACATGTAAACTAAACTTAACCACATTATTTCAGATTTTACTCTTGTACACCCAGAATATCTTCTCCCTTAAACACTTTTTATAAGGCAAAAAACTAGTATTTCACATGTCAACTGACTAAAGTCAAAGCCAATATATTAATACAGAGAAGACATTAGTTTCTAAGTTCCCATCTTACACAAACGAAATGCACCTGGATTATCAATTACTAAATAGTTCAAAATTGTAAATCTTTTGGTCGTGGGGAAAACCAAAGTATTTAGTATTAGCAACTTACTTGTACTGAATATCTTAGTACATATTACTCTTTCATCACTCAACTTTTATTTTACTTTCTAGCTCTATTGAGATATAATTTTGACATAGTGTCACAGGAGTTGATTTGATAGCTTTATATATTGCGAATGATGCCACCACAGAATTTAGTTAATACCTGTACCCTACCACATAATTATTTTTTGTAGTGATAACAGTTGAGATTTACCCTCTTAGCAGCTTCTAAATATACAATACAGTATTATGTATTATTAAGTATAAACAAAATGCAATACATTAGATCCCTAGAAGTTACTCATCTTATAACTGGTAGTGTGTGTCTTTTGACCAACTCCAATTTCCTCCACCCTCCAACCCCTGGTAACCACCAGCACACTATTGTTTTTATGATTTCAACCTTTTTAGAACCCACATACAAGTACTATCATACAATATTTGTCTTTTTTAAAAAAATATTTGTCTTTCTCTGCCTCACTTATTTCACTTAGCCTAATGCCTTCAAGATTGATCCTTGTTGTTACAAATGTCAGGATATCCTTCTTCCTCATGGCTGAATAACATTACAGTGGAGATATATACACATACACATAAACTACATCTTCTTTATCCAGTCATTTGTTGATGGACACTGGCTTATAACTTTTAAAAACAAATATAACTTAGAGTGTATTCTCCTAAGTGGAATGGTAAGACTCCCAGGTTTAAGAGAAAAGAAAGAAAAGAAGATGTGGTATATATACATACTGAAATATTATTCAGCCATAAAAGAGAATGAAATCTTGCCATCTGCAACAAAATAGGTGGAGCCAGAGAATATAATACTGAGCTACATAAGTCAGTCCGAGAAAGATAAATACCATATGATCTCTCTCATATATGGAATTTAAGAAACAAAAGAAACGAGCAAAGAAGAGAATGAGAGACAGACAGACAAATCAAGAAACAGACTCTTAACTATAAAGAATAAACTGATCGTTACCAGAGGCGAGGTGGTTGGGGGATAAGGAAAACAGGAGATGGGAATTAAACAGTATAGCTATCATGATGAAAGAAATAATAATTAAAAAAAAAAACAACAAGATCACATATGCAGTCAAATGCATGTGCCTGGCATGTGATAAGGGTGTACTGAATTTTTGCCCATTTCTGGTTTGGAGCAATGGCCCCCACACAAAGTCCATTGGAATCATCAGTAAACTAAAAACAAAACAAAACAAATACCCCCCCCCCCACCAAACAAAACAAAAAATCCCTTGAACTCAAAGTCCTGACAAACACAGATCCCTGTGTCTCTCCCAGACTGATTTTTGTGATTCTGTCTAGTCTCTATGCATCAGCATTTAGAAGCTCTTGGTCCAGAGTGAAATTACAAAAATGCAACCCCCAGAGCCATCTCCAACTGCGCAGAGCCCACAATGCCAATATTAGCAGATATGAGGATTCTATCATAGCACTGTGAGCCATCTTCCTTAGAACTTATTGTGGCAGAATAAACTTCCTCAAAATTAAATATAAGCTCAAAAACTGAAACATAAGTATTGCCAGGGGGTAAATTTCAAACAATCAATTTATATTAAACATCTACCTTGCTGGAAATTCAAAAAAACTAATATATTTTAGATGATGTATAATCTGCTTCAAATATACCAGACCAGGAATAAAACATGCCTGAGCATCTTATAAGGGAATAATTAGCAACTTGGAGGAAATTATTTAATATTGGCATTATTTTCTTTGTAGAAAAGATGACATCAATCAACTAACAGCTATTTCTTGAACACCTATAATGAGCTCAGTTTTACCTTACCTACTTGGGCAAAGTGTAAACACAAAGTCAAGTCTGTAGAATATATTGATTTCCTCAAGGACATAAAGGAAAAATACAGTGTACTTTAATATTAGCTAAATACTTACCTCGGATAGCCATGGCAATAAAAAGCAAAACAGACAGTTGCTACTAAAGCCTATAAATGCTCAAGAGGAAAAGTATATAGGTTGCTAGAAAACCTCATTTTACCAATGGCAAACAGAAGACAGACAACGTGAAAGGAAATAAAGCATCTTTATGACGGAATGCTTTATGTCCTTTCTTTTATGTTAAGATCCTTAGATTCCTTCAGTTGTTGGTTGTGTTTGTTGTTGTTTAGGTTCCTTCAGCTTTATAAAGCTCTTTGTAGCTTATGGATCTCTCATACAATGTTGTTGCAAAGATACACAAGTAAGATTATCTATGTTAATGTTTGTGTTCCCTGTTCTCTGTTGAAATAACACAATTTTCTTCTAGAGAACATTAATTTTCATGAGAAAAGGAATCAAAATTAGTAGGTAATCATAAATCAGGACATATTATTCTCTATAATAAAAAGTAAATAGGATTTCAAATTGTACAAGTCATTTAATTAGGACAGAGGTATAAAATTAAGTGCTTTCTGAATATTAATGATGTTTCAGTGTTGTTTCAAAACTGGCAAGAGCTTGTACAGAAGAGCCTATAATGCCTAGAGATTAATCAAGGCAATTTGTACTTTTTCTTTCTAAAATAATCTTCAGAAATAAACAACAATAATCTGAAAATTGATCAATCCTAATCACCCTATTTTTTTTAAAGGCCTTAACAGAGCAAAATAAGCCAGAAAAGTTTTTGTTCTTAACTGTCTTAACAAATCTCTGAAAACAAACAGCATCCACCATGGTACACATACGCCTTATTTTCTCTGATTACCCAGTTAAACTGTGCAACCTTACACTTTTCACAGAATACTACTCATCTTTGAAATATTACATAGCTACATTCTTGTTTTCAATGTAGTAGAGATTAGGGTAAAAGGGAACCATCTTCCTAAACATATTTACTCAGATTACAAATTCTAGTTAAGAACTATGTAAAATGAAAGCCAGATACCGGAAGTCCTCCTTTGCTTCAGAACAAGGTGGTTCCTGTGCTGTTTACAACCACACTTGGAAGACAGACAGACCTACCTAACAACTCCAAACTCTCTCAAATTCCATAGTTTTGTCATGCTCAAGAGCCCACAGCCATCTGAAGCCAGTATAGAGTTGACCTGAGAACCAGGGGGAAGTAGACACAAAGTCGTCTCTGGGAGGAAGTGGCAGAAGGAAACTGTAATCCCCCGACTCCGCACACATCCATCCACCTACCCCACCTCATCCACAGCTCTGAAGCTCAGCCCAAAACAGCCTCTGCAGGCCCACATCCCATCACACTGCACAGGAGCTCCTGGTCCTCACTTCCGTGGACCTACCCACCCCGGGTCACTCTGATGAAATGCCCACACAACCTTCATTTACATTAAGTTCTACTGACTGGAATTCTTAAACTAAACTGTAGATTCATCCAACTTTGTGTTTCTAAATATTAATTAGCTACTCTGTGGCCTTGGAAAAAAATTAGGAATGGACCCTGAGGGTATTATGGTAAGTAAAATAAATCAGCAAAGACAAATACTGTTTGATCTCATTTATATGTGGAATATTAAAAAAAGATTCATAGAAACAAAGAGCAGATTGGTGGTTGCCCAAGATGGGATAGGGGACAGGAAATGGGCAACAGTGGTCAAAGAGTACAAACTTCCAGTTACAAGATGAGTAAATTCTGGAATGTAATGTATAGCATGGTAACTACAGTCAACAATACTGCAATTTGGAAGTTGCCAGGGGAACAGAACTTAAAAATTCTCATTACACAGATAAAAACTGTAATTATGCAAGGTGATGAATGTGTTAACTAAGCTTATGGTGATAATCATTTGCAATATATCCATGTATCAAATCAGTATGCCGTATATAATTTAAACCTACACAATGTTATATATCAATTATAGCTCACTAAAGCTGAAAGAAAAAAAAGAGGGAAGGAGAGAGGAACCTCTTTAAACATGAAAGGAGTTTCAAGCACATGAGCTCCAAAGTTTAAAAAAGCCAGGGAATAAGTGTCCCTGGGTCGCTAAGAAGAAATAATAAGGGTAGAGAGAAGAATTAGCATAAACACAAAGAAATGACTAAAACATTTGTGACACTAGATGAAGAAAAATCAGACCCCTCTTAAAATCTGAGAACTAGGAATACATTTCATTGTAAATTTTTGGAAACCTAGTTAACATCACCCCTATTCATCTGCTATTTCTGTCCTATTAGTTTCCCCCACTATTGTTAAATTTAAAAACAAAATAAAACAAGACTCAGCCTCAAAAGACGGGTTTGAGTACCTTTGCCTCTGATAGTGAAAGGAAAAGAAAGATTTCTTACAATGAATTCTACTTCAGAGTAGGCTGG